ACCTTTTTATTGTCAAACATAATATTTACCCATCAATTTTTGCATGATAATTGCATTTCATTTTCATTCTGTTTAATAATTCACCCTAACCCCGCTACTTGGTATCGGTATCAGTATCGGTGAGTACCTAAACTGAAGTACTCGTACTTGTACTCAGTCTCGAAAAAACTGGTATCGGGACAACCCTAGTTTTTGGCACAAATTTCATTCTGTAATTTTTGTGCTTGCTCAACAATTTGTATAGCAACAACGTTCAGCTTCTTCAGGACATTACGGCTATGACTTTTTTTTGTAGATATTTAGTAGGGATGCACCGATATGGAAATTTCAGCCAATATCTACAGTGAATCCGATATTGTTATTGGTGTTATTGCCGATAACTGATATTTATGATATTACTCAAATGCACAAATGATTTGTTTACATATACRCACAAATACACTTGTGTTTTTTTTTCTTGATGCTGTAAAAAACGACCAGACGGCTGACATGTCTCTACTTCAGTTATTCCTGACTGCGTCACTATCATGATCAAACAGATACCACTGAACCATTTCCCCTCCCAAAACAGAAACACCAGCTAAAAAGTGGGAAATCAGTATCAAATGTTATATTGGTCCAGTTTTACTTATCGGACCGTTACCGATGTTAATGCCAATATTTCGTGCATCCCTAATATTGAACTTTTTCTGCCATGTTTGTCTCATTGAAAATGAATGGAGCTGTTTTTAACATCCCTCAAACTTTATAGTATTTTTTATCTTTTGTTCTGGTTTGGCTTTTGTTAACTTCTTTGTGCTAATTTTAGCTTCTACTTGTCTGATTTTAGTATTTTTCAGCTTTTTTAGCTGTCACTCTGACTTTTTCAGCTATTCTTCTGCTACTTGAAGCTGTTTTTGTGAGTCTTTCATCGTCTTTCTGCATTTTTAAGCTTTTAAGTTTTCTTTCAGCAGCGTGCTGCTAATTTCAGCTGTTTTTCACTAATTTGTGCTTTTTTTTCCAGCTAATTCACCATCTTCTGATAATTTCAGCTTCTTACTGCTTAATTCAGCAAGCATGCRCTCTTTCTGTTTCTCAGTGCAACTTTCAGCTCCTTTTTTTCCTTTAGCTATTTTAGTCTAGTTTCAGATTTTGTAAGAATGCAGCAAAAATATTTCAGCATTAAACTTACTTAAGTACTTAAGATGTTTTATTAGAAATGTATAATACTTTCCATTTTCCTTATAGGAGCCAAAAGTACAGGAGGATCAGGTGGTCTCTATTAAATCAATTGAATTTTAACCTTAACCCATTTGGTTAAGGTTAAAATTAAAACTGAAGCGTCTGTTAACTTAAAGCATTAATAAAAGTAGCTGTTTGTTTGTTCCACCAATGGTAAAGTGTTGCTTTTTGAACAAGCCCCAGCTCACAGTTGTACAGTTTGCAGCCGAACTGCGGGCGGTCAGTACTCACATGCCTCCCTCCACCAGCACCGACTGAACGCGGCCGCAGCCTCCAGCCAGCTGAAGGTTGACCGATGCGTCGGTGAGAAGCACCTTCTTCCCCCGCAGACCGCAGCGCTCGAACAAAGTGATCGACGGCAGAGAAAACTCCTGCCGAGACAGACAGAAGGTCGTGCAGGYTGAAATGATGGTTGTTTTTAAAGTTGCCCTGGAAACAGAGCGTATAAACCTCTGCTCTTCCTGACAGGCTCAGTCTGCTTACTGAAAAAGACAGCTGGCTTTCTAAATTCATCTTAAAGTTGTTTAATCCTGGGTAACAGTTCTGGTGTAGAGGACAAAGGCAAAGAACCTCCTAGAGCAGTGGTTCCCAAACTTTTTATCTTCTGATCCACAACATATCCACGGCAAAAACTTGTGACCCCAAATATTACTGGTCTGAGTACATGAACTTTGTTAATAACCCTAAAACCACAGGCTTTTTGACAATCTAAACACCTTGTACACAAATATAAACACTTATTTATACTTATTTTGTGTTTTTGTAATAATTATAGGGAAAATATTACATCATTAATTGTTTTATTATCCTTTAAATTGATTTCTGCAGATTATCCAAGGTGTTTCATGACCCATAATTGGGTCTCAAGCCCAACTTTGGGAACCAAAGCACAGTAGTTCCCAAACTTTTCAGCTTTTGATCCACAAAACAGTAGCAGACCTGTGCCCCCAGCTATTTTTGGATGATAATTTGTATCAGGTCAACTAAACATGGGCATTGTAACAATATTTTTATACTACATTTATCCGTTTTAAATACACTAACCTCACTCCTTTGTAACAGCTAAGGCAAAAATGTAATAAATTCAGAAAATCTTTTCAGGACCCCACCTTGATGT